CTTTCCATTCGGCGATTACGAGAGGCGAGAGTTTTTCATCGATTGATGGACGAATTTTTTTTTTTAAATATTGATGGCAACGACGCGACGGACGATGGAGCAACTCGTTCCACGATAGAAATTCGCCGTATACGGCACTATTAGCAATTTCCACGTCACTTCTGTTCCCTACTTCATCCATAACTCCCTTCTTCAGTACGCAAGCGCGTGCACACATACCACACATACATACATACATACACACACACACATATACAATATGCACGCGCACACAAATCGTTCGCGTACTTCCTACTTTTTCGCGTACTTCGCTTTCTTATTATTAACTTGGTTTCGAACCGGCACTAACAATCTATAGGAATGCAAACGATTCCTAATAATTTCAAAACTGGCCAGTCGAATATCCAATTGGAAAATTCGTTCGAGTTTTCGTAAAAGGTTATATATATATATATATATATATATATCGACACAACGTAATTGTCCTTTTCCCCCTTTCTCTATTATTATTATTATCGTTGTTATATTTTCTTCATTCCTATAGCGGAATGGAACAATGACGATAAAACACCGATCACTCTTACCCAGTTTCTCCATTCGCCTCTCGCTCTCTCGATTTACATCCGTTAAAAACCTATTAGGGTGAAAGCTTGCCGCGTACAAGGGTCGACGTATACGCGCAACTTCACGCTCGAGATCGAAAGATGTAGAAACGGCAGACTGGGCAGATCGGCCGTTCTACTTGGAATCGGATGGATTCTGGAATGCAGGATTCAGCTGACCGGTTTTGCTCGCAGTCGCGTTAGACGGTAACGGATTGCTCAGATGTAGTTTCTCTTGTCGTTTAGCGGCACGCACCAGGAAGAAGAGCGCTCCTATCAAAACGATCGCGCCTATCGCCGCCAGAGTTCCGGATACCGCCGCCCGAGCAATTGGTGGCACGTCCACGGCCATTTTCATCAGGTTTCGCATTTCTTCCGGTAGCTCATCGATACCCTGCAATGAAGCGAATTTGTGTTATTGACACGTCAATTTTTCTCGATCAATCTTGATCGTTATGACGAGTGGTTGATAATACAGCGGCGATTAAAATGACAATGGCAAGAGTAAGTTATCGACACGAACGGTCATTCCAACGAAATGAATCATATTACAGACAATGATACGTCGGAGGCGTCGAATCACTCGCGCTTCCCATTACCGTCACGAATGCCTATTTGCACGATTAATATCATTGGCTGCCACTGCCGCCGCCTAAGTGCTAATCGCTTCTTAATCGCGATTCGTGTCCACGCGATCGATTCGTTCGTGTCAGTCGGATATAATCAAAATAAAGATAGCAGCTACGATAGATGGTCAGTGTATCGACCTCGTTTAAAGTTGAAAATATTTTACCTGAAGGGTATTGTACGTTATGTATAATAGGATAAGAGGTTATTTTCAGAATATGAGGTTAGGTTGCACACGAAATGTTGTTTTTTCGAAAGGTTATGAATAGAGGAAAGAGTAGAAATATGAAATACTCAGATTTTGATAGTTTTTCTAATGATTGTAATAACGACAATTAACACATTTTATTATTCGTTCGTTTAATGAACGTTTTATGTTTTGATCGCAATAGAAAGTTTCTACGCTTATTAACTTGTGAAATTTATTTTAATTTATTTTATAATTTTTAAAGAAACAGAAATTCAATACTTACGATAATCGCAGTTTCAATATATTAATGAAGATTTGAAGTTTTTAATTATAATGATAAAAGAAAGTGAAATTGGTAAAAATATGAGATATTTGATTGATAACAATGTAATTAAAATTTTTCAAAGATTTTAAAAATGAGCTATAAAGAGATATGTTAATTGCGGATCTACGATTGTACGAATCCAGAAAGTATAATTTATATATGCAGTTTTGTTTTGCACACGCATTGCAAAACAAAATAAATTATTCATTTGATTATGATTTCTAATTGTTTTATTATATTTATCATATTCTTCTTGCTTATATATGCTTTTTATTGATAATATGCTTGTATATTGATAAAATCTTTTTATTAATACTTTAATATAAATTATTCCTTAAAAAATATCAATCTCATACTACTATTCGAATACGTTTAACGTTTAATTAAATCGATTTTTTTTCTTTATTTAAAAAAAGTTAAAAAATGTTCCATGAATTATTCAAAATTTTCTATTCAATTTTTTTATTACTATTCTAAGAATCTCGGCACGAAAAAATTAAATGGATATTCCATATTTATATCCTTTCCTCTATACATACTTAATTGAAGTTCTACGTAATTCTAACATGACTGATTTGTCCAATTAATAATTCAACAAATTTTATATAAAAAGTCTTATCTATGTGTTCCTCATCTATCGATCGTTTTAAAATAGGGAAATCTTTAATCTCCTTCAAGCATTTTTTTCAATATGTAAATTTAAATAATAAACTCATGCGATTATCCATAATGATCTACACAATTGATTGTATTGCTATAAATTTTTTTAATACTTGATATATGTAATTTATAACATATATCTCCTTCTTTAATGTGATAATATTTATCAAATAAGTAATAAGTAATATTACTCTATTAATTTCTTTAAAAAACGACATTTCATATGCAACATTTTAATATATATTTCTATGCATTCTTTATATAAACTGAAAAAACGTTATATATTGTTCGTAACTGACAAGAAATCCTAATAATGGAAAAAATACGAATCTGATTGGTCGATTTCCAAATCCAATACGCTTCTAAAAATCAGCCCGCGTATTGGCTGAAAGTAATTCTACAAATAAGATCATACAGCGCCATGTTTGGTGAGCAAAAGAAGTACTTCTCTTGCCCGAATATAGACCCGCCACTCTCGTCAGTTATATATTACCGATCAAGAATCAGTTTTGATTAATTTTTTTAATAAGGAAACATCGTAAAAGAAATAATAAAAAGATCCAGTGTCCATCACGTTATACATCGAAATAAGGATATTTTAACTAAGGATACAGTGTACGTATACTCACATCTTCGAACCATATAATCGGGAAAACGATATCCGGGAACGAGGCAACCTGTTTAATGTCCCGTACTTGGCTAACCGCCAAGTTTATTTGAATTCTCGCTTTAGCTCTCAACGCTGTGCCCATCATCGGTAGAACATCGAGGTAGAATTGATGATCACGTTCGACCGGCGGTGATATACCTGTTACCGCCTCTCTGAGTGTTGGATCCCCTGAAGAGAGATAATGTAAAAAGATCAGATAGGCTTCAAGGTAGGCTTTTTAGGGACAAGAGAGTAAAAACAAGCGGATTCTCAGCGTTTCGATCGCGGCTCGCGAAAGCGAGAATTTCATCAACTGTATTCAAAACTGTGTTCAACGTATGACGACGATTTCCCCAGAGTCGAGAAAATTTCCCACGGTTCGTTCGCTTGGTCGCCGACCGAATTCGCGTGTAAGAGTTGATGTGGAGGGGAGTATGAAGATAGGAAATATAGATAGGTATGTATGTACAGTAGTGGCTCTACAAGTAACAGGTCGTAAGATTCTATAACTGACAGTTCATTATCCCTACTCAGCACGGAGAGACGACTGCCTTGAATCAATTGTGTAATTCAATTCGGCAATTTGAGACTCTTACTAGCATTTAAACTTAATTGGTTTAAAGAATTTAATATTCGTATAATTTTGATTCCTCTTTTATCAAAATATTTATATATTTGATTATTGTACCATTGTGTGTCAAATTGAAATTATTAATTTATAAAGTAATATTTTTAAATTAATTTTTTATGCTCAATTTGATATAATTTTTTTTTTTTTTTTTGAAACTGAAAAGAAACGACAGAACAATCGAAATCTGAGAGATAAAACATTTTTGCATTAAATTTTTTTCTTTGCATTAAATAAGAAATATATATTATATTCAAAAGAAACAAGTTCTTTTTTTTTTTAATCAATCTAATAATTTAAATCAATTTTAAGTTTTTTTCTATTATATAACCATGCCGTAGTGTAAATTTTTTTTTGATGCGTCAATTACTGTGCCTCTCATGAACAGTCTTTTGTAAAACAATCTTTCCTCCTTTAATACGGTATAATAAAGAAACGATATAAACGGTCGTAAAAAAAAAAAAAAAAGATAACAATTTCAATAGTAATTAGGTTTTTATCTTTTGAAATCTATAATAATTGGCTAATCTTTTTTTATTTTTATTATTATTTAAAATTATTTCACTTGTATACAAAAATTTTATTAAAGAACATTATTAAATTATTATTTTGAATATACTGAAAAATGGAAACAAAATAGTTAAAAATAGATAAAAACTAGATTATACTTTTAAACGATTGATTGAAATGAAATTTAAAGAGATTGAGAGGAAGGATGGCTAAATTTAAAATTTTAGCTCCATTATATGTATTAATTTTTGAATTAATAACGAAAAACGATTGAATTCTGCTTACACAAACTAACACATTGAATGCCTACATAGACGTTACTAACTTTCACATTATAGATTGTCGTTGCATTGTTGAGTATAAAATAGTCGATGACATAATACTATGATGATTCTAGTATGCATAAGGTGCTCCAAATAAAATCAGTTATTGTTTTTTTGATCCTTCAATGAAGGGAAAATATCAATATAAGATTATTTATTATTATTTAATAAATATATATACTTATTGAATAATGCAAATGATTTTAAATTAATGATTGATAATTTGATTGCATAAATATTTATAAACGAGCACAGAGTGATTGTCTATGAAAAAACAAGAAAAAAAAGAATAGAATAAAATTTTTTTGTCCAAATCTATATTTTCAAGAAAATCAAACAAATTTAAAAAAATTTTACTTTTTAAATACGAGTGAAATTTAGTAAATTTTTGAATGAATAATTCATATTCAAATGTACAATAAAATTTTATTACTTAAATCCTTGTTATGAACATATACAATCAAAAAATTGTACAATCGACAATTTCTAAAATTCGTGTTTTCGAAAATTAATTTAATAAAAAAATAATTGTAAAAATATTTTCACATATAAAACAACCTTTTACATTCATATCCAATTTCACTTGTAAATATTTTTAAACTCGATTTTCTCAAAAAACCTCCAAGAAAAAATTTTATTCTTTTTTTTTTTCTTTTTTTATAATTATCTGCTTACACGTATTATTCGAAATTTATTTTTTTTCTCTCATTCTTTTTCATTCACTCATTCTCACTCACTCGTACACTTTTTTTCACCACACTGAAAATGATAAATAAACAGAGAGAACCATGCTATTTATGAAACTATTGTATAACAAGGCAAAATAAACAGGTTAATCATCTTACCGAGATAAAAATGCGGGAAACTGAGCAACACCGGCGAATCGTATTGGCAAAGGGAGACATTGAAGGTTCCTTCGGGGGCGCAAGGTGGCCCAGCCGGGCAGAAACATTGCTGCGATTCTAATCTGCTCGGTGAAGCGAATGCATCTTTGGCAGGGACGAACCTATATCCAGGGATTCGACCTGGGGTGATCACTTCCTCCTGAAATGAATCATTCGATCGAAGCTATCCGAACTTTTATTGAAAATCTTTTAAAAGAGGAAGAGAAAGTATATTATTGCCCCTTTTTATTTCTACTACAAATAGATTTTTGAGATGTTAAAAATTAGCAATTTTTTTTTATTCGTGTCTTTCGATAGCATTCGATGAAAAATATCAATATTATTCTTGTTAAAGTTAATAAAAATGATTTAATAATTTTTGAGATATAAAATATATATATATATATATAATTATAATGGATATAAATTAAACGGATGAGAATGTTAGATGATACGATATGAAGTAAATATAATAAAAAATATAATTAAACTTATACTATATACAAGCTTGTTGTTAATAAGTGAACATAGAAATATCACAAAATATTAAATATCTAATTCAAAATTTATTTCTTCGTGAATTCATAATAATATTTTTTTGAAATTTTGTATCAATTTTTTATTTATTTCATATCATATTAATTTAATATATTTCAATATATTTCATATCAATCTTTGTTGAATTTAAAAAATTACAATATTTTTAATAAGTTTTTTAAAAAAAATCCTTCGTCATTTTTCATCAAAAATTATATAGTATTTGAATCCAAGCTTTTATCTTAAGCTTATAAAATAGATTATAAATAAAAATAAATCAGTCCTCAAGCGTTGTAATGTTCAACGTAAAAATTTAATTAATATCAACAATTAATATCTCACTAAAAATGAATATAGAAAATTAAAATTCTACAATCTCATCAATGTAGAATGTCATCATTATATATATATATATCTTATCTATAGAACCATTGACTCTCATTAGACGTATATGTGTCAATAAAATGTATTTTTAAAGACAGTATTTTATTTATAAAAACGGTCAATTCAAAAGATATGATTTTTTTGGTCATTTAATCGTTTAAATAGTAGATATAATACAGGTATTATAATAAAAGCTCATTTATATTATGGAATTAATTTGTTGCATCGATTGTTTTACCATCTTGTGTAACTTTGTATACAAGATATATACAAGATATACATGTACATAGTAATAAAATCATCGACATAAAAATTTTTCATTAGCAAAACCATACAGATTTTTCGAATAACATATTTACATTGTGATGAAATTCATTTTCCTTATTATACAGAAATTGATCCATAGTACGAATGAAATCAAGAAAATTCTAACTTTATCATAAAATATAAAATATAGTATAAAATTTGTTCTTGTATGAATCTTCGTTTTCACGTAAATCAAATTTGAAAATTGTTCAATTTTATCAAATACAAATAGAATTAATTTTTATTGAAAAAATTTTATCCAATTAGTTTTAATTGAATTGTTTTTTGAATGAATATAATTGATGAATTTTCAAATTCGAAAATTTTTTGAAAACTAATTTTCAAATGAAAAAAATGTATTCTACATTTTTTTGTTTATCTTCACATTTAAAATAATTACCGACAGTTCATTCATATGTTAGAGAATTAATTAATTTGAGAATATTTTGATTTCTATTTGAAAACGAAGCCTCCCACGTAATTTTTACGTTAATCTTAATTTCCATCTTATTTCGAGATTATTACAAAATCTCTTAACCCTGTATAAGATGTTAATATATTTGCAAGATAAAAATCAAAAATATCGCTCGAAGTTTATTTAATAAATTTTATAATATAAATTTTAATTTAAATTGAACGTATTTATTTCACTCTCTATCTTCCAAAATTGTCTCACGAGTAATATTAACCTTACCTTGTACGTATGAGAAAATGTGTCTAAATCTGAATAAAAAAAAAAAAGGAAAAATACAAATTACAAAATTAATAACGTTAATTGTTAGAATAAATAATACGAAAAATCAAATTTATACAAAAGACAAAAATTGAAAAAGGAACGCTAATCGTATAATCATATATAATATACCCAGTTGGATGAACATTTAAAATCGTGCATTAAACACTATTGCTTTCGGCGAGATGATCGAATCGGTGAAAAATTCAACATCTGGCCTGGAGCTAATGGATTCCTAAGAGATTAAAATTCTATAAATATAAAACTTTACTCTTAATTTGAATACTAACGAAAGACATTAAAAAAAAGAATGCATTTTTAATAATAGCCCAACCTACTGGTTTTTACTAGCAGCCATCAAGACACGTTACCTTAAACACCAGGGGCAACGCCCTGCACAGATCCTTATCGAAGATTTTCAACACCGTCTCCTTGGTGATGCGCGGCGGGAAGATGCTGCCATCGGTGCCGGCTATCGAGTCGCACTCCGAAGCGGTCCAATGGCCCAGGCTCCTCTTCCCGTTGAAATTGTCCAGGATCCCGTACTTACCGATGTCCTCCTGCCCCGTATAAATCGTGAACAAGTCGGACATGGTCCCATTTTTCCCGTACAACAGACCGAACTGATCGTAGGGCAGTTTCTGCTCCTTCGGCACGACGTCTTTCGCCAATTTGAGCAGGGGGTCCTCGTAACCCCAGAGGAGTTGGCCGATCGACACCTCGACGAACGGTTTTATTCGAAGGATATCCATGATCGAGGCCATCGCTAGCCTGAGGAAACGTGCTGCATACTTGGACTGGCTGGTGGCCGAAAGCATCGGCACGTTTGGGACTACGACCAAATCCTCTTCCGAGCCGGCTGACAGTTCCTGCAATTTTTTTTTGTTTTTTTGTTTTCGTGAAATGAAAGTTGATTTCGAGGAAAGGGAAATATGATTTAAGAATTCATGGAATTTCGAGATTATATATATTTTTGTTATTTTTTGATTTTGATTTTAAGAGATGAGAAATTCGATTTGTGAAACGTGATGAATTTTTTGAAATTCTTCAAATTTTTATTGATATTTATGGTCAAGTATAATATAGGAATATATATCTTTTTTGGCTTGAAATAGAGATTAAATTTTTATGTTTTATTTATATTTCACTTTTTCTCGGTATGTAAATTATTATTGAAAGTGATTAGTGAAATCTTATTAATTAAATGTGGGATTAAATTCAATTATTTATACCAATTATTATTTATTCCAGAGATTTCGAACGATTATAATAACGAAAACTTTCGAGAATTCAATAAAAACTTGTTTAACTTGGAAGAAATTTTTTGAGATTTCGAAATTTCGAACGAATGCTCCATTCCTAATATATTTATCATCATCATTAATGTCGCTGATTTTCGATGAATATTACGAACAACACGTGTATCAATTTGTTTATTTTTTGCATGTAATAACATTATCGAATTTAAAATGATCGATTTTTTAAAGAAATTTTAACTGCTGATTTATATGATTTATATAAAATTATTTAAATAAAATATTTGATATGATTTTTCTGTAAATTTTTATAAAGAAAACATCTTATTAAATAAATGTACAGAAAATAGAATTTAAGAAATAATACACTTTTGTTTCTTATTAAATAAGAATCTAATTAGGAAATTATTTTTTTTTAAACAATTTAATAATTAAAATCAAATTTTCACTTTTAAGTAATTTCTGTATTGATAAGTAATCAAGTTTCTTTTTTTTGATGCATCAATTATTGTGCCTTTTACAAGTAAATAATCCATGAAATATCCATGAAAACAGTAGTATTAGAGAAGAGGATACAACAATTGATTCTTTGTTTTTTTAACGGAATATTTTAATTTAGAGTGCAATTTTTTTTAAAGATATTTTTTTGTAATTTTTTATATTTAATTTACAGATAAATTAATGCAATCTCTTCAAATCATTTTATGATTAACGATTCTGATCATTACAAATCTCTTCTTCACTATGACATTAATTCAATATTATAATTATTGAATTAAAATTTTTGAGAAAATATAAAAAATTGAAAATATGACAATATTTCGAAATTAAAACAAAAAAAAAACCTATGTGTTTTAATTGATGTTTTAATATTTTTTTTATCATTAGCATATCAAAAAAAAAAAAAAAGAGTAGAAAAAGATATCAAATATCAATTACTTTAGTTCAGACAATGAAGGCTAAATATTCATTTCAAATTTCAAAACGATCGTTAATTAGAACTTGAAATAATTCGAAAAAGAATTTGAAGAAATATGAGTTCGAGGAAATCGTGTTTGAAACCTTATACTAAGCACGTATACTTATGACTAATCAACCAGCTAGAATAACATTCTTTTTCAACGTCTGCAACTTGATTACAATTTTTATGAATCAAACAAATCCTTCGACAAATATATATTTTTGAGAATATATATATTTAAAAAAAGGTAAAAAAAAAAATTGATCTTTTAAACAAGATTAAAGATTTTAAAAAATTTTCGATTAGTAGGAAAAATATTAAACAATATTAATATTTTGAATAGATTTAAACGTATTAACTTAAATGAAAAAAAAAAAATTGATTAAAATTGATAAGAATAGATACTAATGTTTATAATTTCATTGAAAATAATATTTATTTATTTTTAAAATTTGATACATCTACTTTTAATCGATTCGATTTTATTCATTAATTTTTATTAATAATTCCTTCGTTTTATCTCTTATAATTATATTTGTCAATTATAATTTTTAATTGAAAAATTGTTTCTTGTTTTGATGCAATCTTTTTCGAAAGTTTTATTAATATTAAGAGAAGAAATTTTTGACACTATTTTTTTTTTAGATTTAAATATTAAATCTGTACAAGAAAACATTTGTTAAAATAATAATTTAATGTTAAATTTAATATTATAATTCATTGTGTAATGAATAATTTACTTCTTTATAATAAAATTTGAAAAT